CTCCTCCTCCTCCTCCTCCTCCTCCTCCTCCTTTCTAATTAACGAATGATATTTTGAAATTTGAAGCTCTCAAGGAAGGGAGGAGATGAATGAATGTGTTGTTTCAGGAAGATTTGAGCATATCCCTTTTAAAATTGAAAGCAAATTTTTTTTATTTGATTTAGCATCTATAGGGTTGTGTATTATTAAAATTCAGATTAATATGGATTTCCCATTCTGATTCAGACGTTGATTTCACAAGTTACATCTACTTGTTCCCGAGTTACATTTGAGTAGGTTAAAGTTACATATCACAAGTTACATTTAACTTTTTCTCAACTTAATTTGAATCGAAGCAGTTTACATTTCAATGAGTTACATTTTGTTGAGGAAAATACGACCCCCGACCTCTTCCAAAATCACAAGCTCAAGGGACTTTTGTACACTCACCCACCCACTCGTAACATGAAGACTCAATCTAACAATATCACTTTGTATTATACAATTGAAATGTACAAGAGATATTTTACAAGTAAACATGTAGCTCACATCACTCTTTGTGTATGAGATTACTTCACTCTCACACCCCTCTCTTAAGGAGGCACTCGCTCAATTCTAGGGCTGTCATTTTAAACCGAAAAACCGAAAACCGAACCGAAAAAACCGAACCGAACAATCAAAAAAACGAACCGGAACTGACTAAAATGGGACCCGAAAGTCTAGACCCAAAATTTTATCGGTTTGAAGTCGGTTTATGGAGGTTTAAAATCGGTTCAAACCGAACCGACTCTTATTAAATGTTACTACGTATTTATTTTTATTTTCTGCGACCAGTTACGTAATATATATCTTACAAGTACACATATTTGGGGAAGAGACTTCCATAGTTCCACTCCACCCTTGTAAAACTTTTCGCCCACCATGTTCGATTCACATCTCTGCACCTTCCTTTATCATTTTTCTCAGGCTTCGAAACTTTCCCCACACCGGATGAAACGGAACATGTACTCCTATCTCCATATGTAAGCAGCCCCTTGGGTTGAGAATTGACTTAGGTGGCCAATGCTCTGCTTCATAGCCACTCGTTAGTTAGGGAGTGTTTGCAATTGCTTCAACTTTAAAAAAGTGATTTTTTAAAGTGATTTTGGGAAAAGTGATTAATAGTAAAAGTTGGTAGTGTTTGAGAAAAAAATGATTCTGGAAAAGTAAAAGTTGGTAGTGTTTGGTAAAATAAGTATTTTTTGTGTAATAGAAAAAGTGAGAAGCAGTTTAAAGCACCCTTATACCTGCTTCCAGCTTTTAGCTTTTAAGTGATTAATTTAAGCAGAAGTTGTCATTTGAAAACACTCTTTTCAACTTTTTTTAAGCCAAAAGCTGAAAAGTGCTTTTTTAAAGCAAACCCAAACACTCCTTTAATATTTCAAAATTCAGTTCGGTTTTTCATGAAACCGAAAAACCGACCCGAAGATTCGGTATCCGAAATTTCGGGTTCCATTATGGGTCTGAGAATTCGAGTAACTGAATTTTCGGTTCGGTTCGGGATTTTCCTATTTCTGTTTGGTGCCTGAATCGAATCCATTCCTAATTAATTCAGAGTTCCCATCAAGGTTCTCTCTCATCACTTGAGGATGTTCTTTCTCTAGGCTCTCTCTTAGGCTCACATCCAAAGTTTTTCTAGAACTTTCTATACTTCACTACACTTCTAGAGTCTTCCAAGAAGTATCCACAAATTTATCCAATCTTCTAGAAGGGTCCAGAGGACTCCATGTTTCTTTAGAAAGTTCTAGAGATTATAAATAATGCAATTTTCTTAGCTAAGGCTAAGGATGAACCTCTATGCACACTAGGTATTTGATAAAAGTTTTAAACTAATAAATTGTGATTTATCCTTTATATTTTGATTGTTTATGACCATGGTGTACAACATAGAAGTATGTCATATTTTCTGGGTGTTAATATATATTTACATTTCATCCAAAAAAAAAAAAAAATAGAAGTATGTTAAATTTAGTTTATGCTTACAATTAACGTTGAAGTTTAAACTATGAACATTAAAGGATAAACATATATAGTACCGAGAATAGAAATATATCCGGTCTTATATGATATGGGTGTGATGTCTTGATATTCAACGGAGTTTTCGGTAGATGAATGTAAGCCGTAACGGGACTTACATGTAACGAAAATCACGCTCTCGTTGCCTTAACCGGAGTTGAGAATATATTAGCGATATCGTATTCATAATTATTGGGAAAGAACTATTATTAAATAACTATTAAAACATTTAGGTGAATCCTGATTGCCTTAGTAATTCTCATTCTTGTTTAAACCAATCTCAAAGAACAAAGTTTCTGAAAAATTATACGTAGTACCATTTATATTCTTTGCATTCAATATTCGACTTTATAATATCAACCATTTCCCTATGGATCGACCCGATATGTACCGGTATTTTATTACCAGGGGCACTTGTACACTTGCAAGTTCAAACCGATCAGTAATTTAAATTTGCATTCTATTTTATTGTTCAAATTAGACTTGACACTCCGTTTTTAAAAATGCACATCCTTAACAATTTGTTGACCTTGAACATATTCCTAATTGAGGGACATTTTTGTCTTTTCACACAGGTTTGTGTGCAATTATTAACATCTCTAAAACCGGAGTGCAAAATTCAATTTTTACAATAAAATGGGGCATAAACTCAATGTCAAATAAATCAACCAATGACACTCAATAGACTGCAGACTACAGATGGCAATTTCGGCCAACCCATCGGATACCCGCACCGAACCGATTTGGTCAAAATGGGGAAAACCGGTTTGACTGGGGAACGGGTACAGGGCGGGGAATACCCGATTTTTTAAAATGGATAATGGTGCGGTTATGGTTCTATACTAATCCGCCCCGAAACCACCCCGTTCACTAATGGTGCGGGTACCCGCGCCGTAACCCGATCCGTAACATTATTAATACATTCTAACTCTTTATATATAAGAGTAATAATACTATCGTATACTAGAGGCTCAAAACTTTTTTTTGTGAAGGATTACTACTTTTTGAAGTGTTAAATGTTAATGTGATGGTGTAATGAATTTAAGCCTAATTAAAACTGTTTTTTGCGAAGGATTACAACTTTTTTAGGCGTAAAACTAAATTTAGGGCCCAAACATGTTTTTTGAATTTAGATTCTGAGATGATTACTACTTTTTTATTATGTTACAAGAGATATTTGGTGCTTGTCATACTAATGAATTTAAGAGTAAAATTACTTGATTGCTTGAATATTTACTTTTTTTTTATGTTTTATGATCCTTTGAATACACCGCATACTTGTATAATTTACTAGGAAGGATGTTTACATTCTAAAGGAGGGTGTTTACATCAACAAGTAGGATTATAAATTGGAAATTTTGGTATCATTTAGGCAAACGATTACCCATGAATAAATCAATTCCCCCGACGCCCCGACGGGTACAGTTCAAATAGAAATTACCCGGGAACGGGGCAGGTTTGGGGGCAAGCTTTTAACTAACAGGGCGGTTTTAGTTTTACTTGTGTAGTCGTGTACCCGACCCCGATCCGCGTCATCCCTACTGTCGACTGCCGGCGCCTGAGCTCAGTTGACTGTTGTCCTTGCACTCTTCTTGGTCGATCTGCAGACAGGGGCGGAGGGGTGGCCCAGTGCAAAAATAAGGCTCGTCTAGTGTAGCAAACTGTCTGGCCGTAATCTAAAGCAAAGAAGCGCAACAGCCAATCGACAGAGATAACATCCGACGCATCATGCACCTCGCGCACAGAGACTGCAACGCCGATTCGTCGGATGTCGCAGCTCATCGCTCGCTTGCTCCGTCGCTCTCATCGCTGGAGGTCGGACACGCACGGACGCCCCTCTGCTGCTCGTCGTCTGCTCCTGCCGGTCACTAGACTGCTGTCGTCTTCTCTAGAGCCTTGAGGACTCCAATCTGCTGCTGCTCGTCTGCGCTGGCTGCTCGTCTGCGCCGGCTGCTCGTCTGCGCCAGCTGCTCGTCTGCGCCGGCTGCTCGTCTCTTAAGCCAAGATAACTAGGTAAGAGTTTCTGTTTTTTGGTTTTACAATTTTTAGTTTACTCAATCTACTTTCAAAAAGGCAAAAATCACGTTGAGTTTGTTTTATAGGCCTAGTACAAGCACACAAAATAGAGAAGAGTTAAATGTCTCAATTGAAACTCCTAATATCTCATCCGCTCAAGAGAAAGTAGTTTCCGATGCACTTGTAATTGAGCGGGATTTGGGATATCTCTTAATATCTCCTAATACATTTTAGTTTCAAATATTGTATGTACTGTTTAATAATATTATTATGAATTTTAATGGATTTTAATCATTATGTTCATACTATTTACGCCCCTGTCTGCAGACAGAAGTTAAAAGTCGGACAGCGATTAGTTTACTTCCTTTTCTGGTAAATATTATGGACAAAGATGGAAAATTTCGATGCGTAGAGTGTGGATCATCGGTTAACTCTCTCTACATCCAATACTCTCCCGGCAACATACGTCTCATGAAATGCATACTGTCCTTTCTCCTCTTTCTTGGGCCTGAATAATACATCGTATTGAATTTGGTTTTTTATTCTGTCTTTTTTATAATTGCAGGAGAACTGTAAAGCTGTCGCCGACGAGTACATTGAATGCGAAATCATGGTACTTCGGCAAAATTGATAATAAAAGTCTCAACTTTGAATCATGATTTCATGGGATTAACTACCACTTTGTCTTGTTTTCTGGGTGTAGATTATCTTGATTGATTTGATCCTACATAAAAGACAAGCTTATAGGCACTTGTTCTACAATATGTTTACTACGGAGAAACTTAATTTTGAGGTATTTTTTAACTGAATCTATCTTCAGCTGTGAAATTGCATTCTTGTCCAGAGTCATTTGTTTATGCTGGCTGCTCCTTTAATGTTTGCAGGGATTATTATGGAAATTACTACTGGTGTTCCTTCTCTTGGATTCTTGTATCCATTTTGTGATGTTACAATACACTTGACAGAAAATTTATGCATTTCCATTTGCATATTTTGTTTCATCATAGGTTATGAATCTGTGTATTATTATTTTTCTAAGAGTATGGTAGTTCGATGTCCCATTTGGTAGCTATAATCAACTTATTTCAACATATTAAGTAACCTGTGTAATAAAAAATCCCATTTTTATTGAAAATAATAAATAGAATAAAAGGAGGGGGGGCAATGGGGCATATACCGAGGCCTAGCTAATGACTAATGTCATCCCGACACGAGGGCGTACCCCCAAATGATACCAAATAGAGGTTGAATAGAGGTTACCAAATGCTTTTCCCTTGAAAGAAATCAGTAGATTCAAAAACAAAAACTTACCAAATGGGGCCTCTAGTGTTGTAGCACCCAATAAGCCTTAATCATGAAAGATAGAATGATGATTTTATGCACTAGTCCTGAGGAGAGGATCTGGCCTACGACCTTTGCTTCACTGGCCTCCATCTACAGAAAGGTTTGTACCACCTGTATTTGAGGGTTAACCGTAATGGTTTTGCATTTTGAGTTATGTTGTGAAATGTGTAGGTTATGTTTGGAGTCATCTTTGGGAACCTGGTTTTGCTTGGAACATTACTATTTGGCGCAACGAGGTTTCTGGAATCAATTGTTAGAAATTCTGGGTAAATTTTTAAACGACTGTTGGAGAATACGAAAGCACCACTTTAATCTTTACCTGATAAGTTTCTTTGTTATATTTACTTGAATTGGACAGGTATAGGTCTGTACTGCTTGCAATCCTCGTCTCGAGTTACTTAAAGATCTTCCTTGTGGCCATGATGGTGTGCGTTTTGCTTTCCGCATTAAATCTCATATAGGTCTGTACAGGATCTCATAAGGTTCCCATAGCAAAAGTACATATACCCCATGTACTTTATTTATTTATCATCTAAATAACCGTGCCATTTTGCTATGGGAACCTTCTAGCGGGACGGAGGTAGTACTTTTTTATGATTTCTCATACGATGTTTATATTGCATTTGTAAACTTTTAAAAAATATTTTCTTTTTATTAGATTTTTACTTTAGTAGGTTTTTTCTTAAATATTATAATCTCCGTCCCTCCAAGATTTATCAAATTTGGTAAAATTTGTGTGACTTTAAATCATTTTTACTTTATTCGTATTTTATCGATTTAATATCAATCACCTTTTTAATAACCATGTCACCTCTTCATATCTCAACCTTAGTGAAACTAAGGTAGTACTACGTGGTAAATTATACCGTACAGCCGGCTGTACGGTGCTCACCGTACAGCCGGACGTTTTGTAATTAAATCTCTATCCCGACTAGCAACTCATCGATGACTGCCTTTCCCCTTCACGTGCATAAATATCGCAAACGGCATTCCGATTCTGTACTAACGTTCGATCACTGCCTTTCCCCTTCACGTGCCGGGAAGGAGCTTGATAAACCATTCCGTATTCCTCAAGTGAAATCACAGCTCCGAATGAACAAATTGAAGCAATTTAAAGCAGCCGCCGATATAGAGCATGGGCATCCATCTTTCTCAGCCATCTCAAGAAAAAAACTCAAGCAATCACATCACAATCATGGAGGTAAGCATCAAAATTTTCTACAGATTTATCTCTAAATAATTGAATACCGATCTAATTTAATTCAAAATTAAGAGCTCGATTCATTGAGTTTTGTGTTTATGTTGCAGGAGTCATTGGGGATGACACTGATGGATTTGATCACGTTTATGAATATTGAACATACTATAAATGAGTTTTATGTTAATCTCAAATGAGTATATCGCTAAAATGAATGAAAATACACAAACGAGCTTTTGATTTTTTCGATACTCATTCCGTAAGTTGTCTATGCTCATTTGGTATCGATGTTCTACTCATTAGATTTTAACATAAGACTTGATTATAGACGCGAGAGCATAGATAATGATGCTCAACCATACGATTCTAATACTCAATAGAAGAGATTTGATACTCAACGAAAATGTATTCATGATCAACTAAAAAACATACGATTTTCATATCAATGCTCATTTCATATGTTACATATCTCAATTGGTACTGATGTTATGCTCATTTTTAAAATGTCATAACAATACATATTTCAAAAGTATCATATTACATTAGATTCGCATATTGAAATTCATAGGATATAATTTAATGAGATTTTATAAAAGAAAAAATAAGAAAAAGAAAGTGAATTACAATATATGGAGTTGATATCACAATACTCATTATTTGACTCATAATGTTCAGTAGAATACGTCTGATGTTCATTAAAAGTGTATTAATGCTCATATAATGAAAACTACAATTTTCACTGAAATTACGAAAATGTCACCGTTTTTTAGTTGTGATACCAGCTTTCTTGTAATAACACGGTGCTCATTATTAGACGCTTAATACTCATTCAAATTGGACTATTGCTCATTAACAGCACACTAATGCTCATTTAGCAGAAACCGAGATTTTCACATTGATTACAAAAATACCACCGAATTATTTTGCAATTTTTCACTTGGGCCTATTACTGGGCCGGGTGTACGGTGCTCACCGTACAGTTGGTTGTATCATATACGTACTGTACTACGTGCTATGAATGAAAATGCGACTTTAGTCACTACAAGTATATCATAGACTATGATTATTTATATTTAACATATAAAAACTCTGGACAAATAAAAATATTAAACAAAGAATGTTTAATGTATTGAAGACATGATTGAAAGTTGCGTTGAAATGTTTCAAAATGTTCCGGCATTTTCCAATATTTTTGACATCTCCCAAATTTTGCTCTCAGATTAGCAAAAACATTATCCCTTATCAATAAGAGAAATTTCGATGAAAACTTTATAAATCTCTCGATTTTCATAATTGATTGAAAACTGCGATTTTGTGTTCACAAAGAAGGCATTTCACCTTACTCTTCTCTTTATGTATCAGTGCTTACAGACAAAGACACGATTCATTGCCTATGGATCTGCTTAGCTGCACAAATGTTGAAGTTACTCATGGAGCACAGCCTCATAGGATTTTCAACTCTCTCCCAGTTCTATTAATCTCCCATGAAGTTACTTCGACTTGGAAACTTCAATTCATGGAATCGGCTTTAGAGGCATTATGTCAACTGGGTAATATGCATTTGGGGTTCCATAACTATATAGGGGTTGCAAAACTAGCCATGTTAGATTTGTTCTGGCACTTTAGAGACATTTATTTAAAATTATCAAGAATAATAATCTACTCCTGAAGCCATTAAAAATTGCCAAGTCTACCAAAGTAGTATTGTTCAAGTTTAGGATCCAAATGAATGTGGTGAAGTAGCAATTTTTTAAAATTTAAAATGCAAATTACATTTTTGTATGAATAGAAATGCAGAAGACTAACATCTAAAACAAAATGCATTTTGGCCTTTTAAATTTAACAATTTCACATTAACCAGGCCCACCAGATGACTTTATCAATCAAGTTTGATAGTTGCGGGACAAAAATGCACACCCAGTAGATGATGTGTATCTGATCATCGTAAATACTCCTTATGTATATGCATATCATTGCACCCCTCACCCCCCCCCCCCCCAGAACGAAAGAAAGATGGGTGGTTTTAACTTTGTGGGCACATGATAAACTTTATCAATCAATAAACTATATAATGTTATGGTATGTTTACAGATACTATTGTCTACAAATAATAGTGTAAAAATGAGAAAACAAAGCCACACACACACTGACACACTTGTTGGTTTATCTGGGATTATGGGTTTAGAGACAAAGCCTTCTCCTACATGCCTCAAAGGGAAGGGAATGCTTCCAAGGAGAGTGCTTTGAGTAGCCCAGCTCTTTAACTAGTTCTTGAATCAACTCTTTGCATATGTAATCTTGTAAAAGCACTCCAATATTTCTAGCCTCTCCATGCTCACCACAAGCTATGTCTCTGCAAACTTCCTCCACACTCCTGACCACTGCTTTGTTTGGAAATGAGACAAAGCCACATTGTTCACCGGAGATGAGACAATCTCTTCTTCCCGCTTTGTTTGGAAATGACTTGTTTTCAATTTCTTGATGATAGAGTTAAAATATTTCCATATATGGCTACATTGTTCGTTGCTTGCGCTGTGCACGCTGTTGAATATAATAAAAATGTCAAGCCATCTCACCACGAACAAAGATAAGAATACACAATACTTTTCTTGCCATTTTAAAAATAGAAGCTTATAAGGTGTAAATAAAAACACATTTGTTTTAGCACGAATAGTGTTTTTTTTTTATATATAAAAAAGAAAACACTTTCACTAAAATTTTGAAAAAATGTAAGTTGTGTGGCTCTAATGCAATCCTCCCTCGCAATGATCAAAGCTCAAACACAAAATAAAAAAGCGTGTATGTCATTAGGTGTCATTTTTTGAGGTTGTCCTATTTTCAATACCCATACTCCATTTCAATGGTATGTCTTTCCCCTTGCATGCACACCTTCTCTTCTTCCCTATTTCACTCCAAAACACATCCATTGTTTTTCCCTTTGATTTGCCACTTCCAACCCCAAACATGGAATCTCATCTCCCCCAAAGGGCAATATTCTTCTTCATCTTCCTCTTCCTCCTCATCTCCTCCAACCCATTATGTGTGCATTCTAAGTCCAAGTCCAATATCATTCACCCTATCCTCAGACCCAAAAAGGCCTCTCCCATCGCCACCACCGACCAAGCAAAGACGAAGCCGAAGACCACCGATGAGCTCAAGAAGATATGCGACGGGACGGAAGACGCTAAGCTCTGCATCACCACGATCTCCCCGCTACTGAACGGTGGTGCCGCTGACACGCAGGCGGTTCTTGAAGCCGGGATAAATGCGAGCTACGAGCTCGCGAAGGTCGGGAACGCCATGGCGAAGAAGCTCTCCATGTCTCAAACGGGAAAAGCGGCATCCAAGGTAAAGGACTGTCAGGGGAGCTATGATGATGCTTTGTACAATTTCGATGAGACCGTAAAGGCGTTAAAGGACTCGGATGTCGGGACCATGAATTCCATGCTCAGCGCCGTCGTGTCTGATATGAGCGACTGCAATGACTCGCTCGCCGGTTTGGGCTTGCCGTTGACCAATATAGGAGACAAGTTGGCTAACATGACTAGCGTCTGCCTTGGCATTATTTCCCAGATGGAGTGATGATCTATAAATTCATATACATACATACGTAGAAAACTGTAGATTTAGACCTAACTTATTCACCTTCTCATTTTTTATTTGGCAATTTCACATTCTTGCAGATTTAGTCTTATATATATAGACACACACACAGTATATATTAAAGACTTTTTCAACTAAATGTATTATTTTTGACGGAAAAGAGGACAGTGGCCAATTTGTTTTCCTACAAGTGTACTTTCCGGCGGAGAACTTCTTATTATGGAGAAATTCACTAATGACAGGATTAAATCTGCATGTGCGTAAAGTTATAGGATGAAAAGTGAGCACGATATAAAAGTTACATAATTAAAACAATAAATTTCCCTGTACAAATGTATACTTGTGTCATGTCTTTTAATTTAAACAATTTTGATTGTGTATTTGACTATTCACAGTCTTGTCAAATAAAAATAAGATTTTAATCTTTGGCTCAAACTTGTCATTTTGTAGGATGAAGAAAGTAATTTCTGTTTCTCTCATTTTTGGGCAGTGAGATTAGTTAGGTAGTTATGTACATTGAATGAGATTTTTATTAAAGTACTATATGTGACTTCCGTGTCTTATTTTATGTGTATGTGTAGAGAACAATGGGATGATGGGTCCTCAATCGATGCCCTTTTACGTATTTAAATTCGGTTATCAGACCCTTTTTAAGTGTTCTTTTAGTTGGTTTTTTTTGTTAGAATTAGATTAAGTTCACTTATTTGCCAAAATGGTTGAAATAAATTTGACAAAAGAAAATAATATATATTGTTTTATATAGTAAAATTGATTTATGAAATGCTATTGTGACATTCATTGATTGGTTAACAATATAATATCTATAACACTTAATTTAATATTCCGTTGGTAAATACTAAATCTAAAAATTCTACGTTTCTTGATTAACAAAATACTCGTATCACTTTATTCACTAGTTTTAGGTATCAATTTGCAATCTTTTTTAAAATTTGGTTTTAGAATATTTACTTAGGAAAAATAGTTTGGAGAATACGAGTAGGTTAATCATTTCCTTAAAATGTTATAAAAAAGTAACAATTTTTTCAATGAGTTGGGATTAATTTTGAATAACTTTAATCACAATATTTTGACATTTATTTTACAATATTAATGTAATTAACCATAGATCATATCATTGAATTTTTTTTTGCAAAAAAAAAATTATTTTTGATATTAAGTTACAATATATAGATATTTGAATATTTCTAATAATATATGCAGATCTAGCGTGATCAAAATCATTTGACTACAAGCCCCTGGCCTATGGATTTTTTGAAGTTATTTGTGATGTGATAGTTCAATTAATATTATTAAAACACTTATTAAAGCCCCTTTGAACTGTAATTCAAAACTTTTTTGTAAATAAAACAAAAGAGGTAAGGGGCAAATAAGCCCTCATACTAACCCAAAAAGTGCAACCAAGTCCTTATATAGGAGATTATGTCCGACCGTCGTCATTTGGGTAGGTTCCCAGTGAAATTTTTTTATGAAATTTTTGAGCATATTCTTTATTAAGTCTAGTTTAACCATACCAAATTTCAGAAAAAAATTCAATCGGGAAGACAATCAAATAAATTTTTGAAGATACCTTCGCAGTTAAACATCATAGTATATTTCAAAAAATCATTTGACAGCCTTCCCGGATGAATTCTTATTTGAAATTTGGTATGGATAAACTAGACTTAATGAAGAAGATGTTCAACAAATTTTATCAAAAAATTCCGCCGGGAACCTCCCCAAATGACGGCGGCCAAGCAGAGCCCTCCTATATAAGGGCTTATTTGCACTTTTTTTGTTAGTTGGAGGGCTTATTTGCCTCTTTTCCCTAAAACAAAACAATAATA